GGGGACGGGGGGGGGGGGGGGGAGGGACTCAATTGAAATATAACTAAAAATAACTAAAATAAATAACTAAAATAGCAACTAAATATAACATTAAAAAATAAACTTTAAAAATTGTGCATATATTTTCATTTAATCTGATATTTAGTTTTGTTCAAGTTCCAAATAAAAAAAGAAACTAATCCAGTTGTTAATTTGTAAACTATTTAATTCACTGGATTAGGCCCAAATAGACATCATCACATAATTATTTAAAATATACAATTTGAAGCATAAACATTTTATGAACTTAATTATGAACTCAAATGAGACTGAATATCTTTAAGTCATTTTGCCAAGACTAAATTATTGAGTAAGAACTTTTTTTTTTTTGCAGAAAAGTCGCCATAAAACTGAAGTTTTCTGTCTTTACTATTGTAATGTGATTAACTTTTGAGGGAAAAACAGCTACTGAATAAGAAAAAAAATTGACAAGACTTGATTCTATTCATTTTTTTGTTGTTGTTGTTGTTGCTGTTGTTTTTTTTGATTGAGCAGATGGAGAATATAAAAACCTTTCAAATTCAAAGTTTTAATAAAAACTATAATAGTGTATTAATGATACTAAAAACAACACTGACCTAATAAATAAATAATTTTTATTTTTAATTATTTTTAAATTTTACCTTTAATCTGATCTATTGCTATCAAATCGATAATATTTCAGAATGTTAATTGTCTTTTAAGTGCCAGCTGGATTACTAAATTGCAAAATAATAAGATCTTAAATTAAACGAATTATTAGTCTCATGTCTCATTGTGTTTTTCTCAGCAAGAGTTTCATGATTTCAGAAAGAACGGCTCGACCTGTGCGATGTCCTGCCACGGCGTAGCGTCGTCTTCGCTGGGATGGATGCCCAAGTTCCAGCGGCGCTGCAGCACGTAAAGCACCGGCTCCACCGAGACGTTAAAGCGGGACGACCAGCGGACCTCCAGCAGTCCTGACGCCTGCTCCACAAACAGCAGCTCCTTCCGCGGCTTCAGAGGAGATCCTGAGACGACAGAGGTGCTTTAATTACCCGTAACATCACCTCAAAACACCAGACTCTAGCGCTGAAATCTACACAAATAAATAGACTTTAAATGTGTTTCTTGTTCTTTAGAAATTTGCTCTAATTTCAATAATAATAACAACAACTCTTTTTTTATTTGTATTTTAGTTTTTAGTTTGTATTTGTGTTTCATAGGAAAACCTAATATAGGGTTATTATCGTTAACTAAAACTAAAATCATACAAAACATTTTCATTACTTGAAATAAAAGAAACTTTAACTGAAATAAAAATTATAATATTACAAAAATATATGTTATGTCAGCTAGTTGCCAAGTCAACTTCTCCAATTTCTCTTTTTAGTTTAGTTGGATTTGATGCATTAAAATACAGTAACTAAAACTGAAATAAAATTGATTAAAAACTGTACAGACATGTTAAAAAACTCAATTAATAAAAATGAAATATAAAAACAGAAAACAAAAAACAAAAATAATAAAACTAACTAAAATTAAAATGGAAAATACAGCTAATTAAAACTTTAAATAAAATTAATAATAAACTTAAAAAGTGAAAACACAACAAAATTGCTAAAACTTTAACTAAAATTAAAATGGAAAATAAAACTGATAAAATGGGAAAAAAATTAAAACACAACAAAATTAACAAAACTTTAAAGAAAATTAAAATTGGAATTAAAAATATAATCAAATAATAAATAATAAATAATAATAAAATAAAATAATACTAAAATAAAAAAAACAAATTCAAAATATGAATAAAAACTATATTAATGATACTAAAATAACACTTATCTAATAAATAAGATATTCCATGAAAAAAATATTACAAAATGATAAAATTAATTTTTAAAAATTAGAATCCAATCTTTAATTTGTAAGGTTTTTCATTTGCTGGATTAGACTAAAAAATACATTTTCACATTGTTTCAATGAATGTGCAATAGTTAAAAATAACTATGTTAAATAGCGATGTTACATGATGTTTATGTGATGCTCTCACTGCAGCTACAGCAAACCTCCATCTGCTCCATGTGGCAGTGACTTCCATTTAACCCTCAAAGACATCTGAAATTCTTCCATATGCAATAAATTAAAGATTTATTAAGTACAAAGCTTCGGGGGGAAAGAAGGGAGAAAATGTTCTGCTCCATGTCTTTCCTCGATTCGCTACAGCTGTGACGGAGCGCCGCTGATTGAGGAGCGACGTGAAGGACTCAGAGATGTCCAATGTCTTCCACACAACTCCAGAAATCAGAGCGACTTCACTGCTGACGGATGCATTTCCATCGGAGAACAGCGCTGAAGATGTGTGTCTTATATTTATATCATATGCGTTTTAGACACAGTATTGTCTATTTTTAGTCTGTTTTGCTCAATTTCACAAAGAAAAATAGTTGAAAACAAATAAAGCCACAGCAGAACTGTTACAACAGAGTACGATAAGTCAAGTCAAGTCAAGTCTGCTTTATTGTCAATTCTTCCACATGTACAGCACATACACACAGAGAATTGAAATTGCGTTACTCTCAGACCCTTGGTGCATACAGATAACACTAACAGTAGAAGATAAATACAGATATACAGATTAAATATAAAATACAACTATACAAATATACAAATAAGGTAAAATGTAAAAAAAAATATATTAAAAAAATAAATAAATAAATAAAAATAAAATATATATAAAGCAGCACACGGCAGATAGAGTGCAAACCAGTGAAGTAAACAACAGTGCAGATATAATGATTTGTAGTGCAAAAAGAGCTTATTTAGACTGATTAAAGTGACTGTGTGTGTGTATTGATGTAAACACAAAGCCCGCCGCCGCGGGTCTTACCTCCCTCGACGCGAGCTCTGTCCGCTCGATAGCATGTCAGCTGATCGAGATGAATAGCGCAGTCCGGAACGCTGTTGTTGAGCCATGTTTCCGTGAACACAAAAACACAACAGTCTCTTACAGTCCTCTGAGTTGAGCGTAGTAGTCGGATGTAGTACAGTTTATTGTCCAAAGAGCATACGTTAGCCAGTACGATGGTGGGGATAGCTGGCTTGTGTGGGTAAAACTGTGGATAAAAACACAGTGGTGATTTATTACTAAATTAATCAGCTGTTTGAACAAATCGAGGGAGCCGATGATTCAGTGACTCGTTCATAAAGACAGTCACTTGCTTCATTTCTGAACAAATCAGCCGTTTGAACGCATTAAGCGAGCCAATGATTCAGTCACTTGTTTATAAAGACAACCACTTGCTTTGTTTCTGAATAAATCAGCCGTTTGAACGCATTAAGCGAGCCAATGATTCAGTGATTCATTCATAAAGACAGTTTGTTTCTAAATGAATCAGCCGTTTGAACGCATTAAGCGAGCCAATGATTCAGTGATTCATTCATAAAGACAGTCACTTGCTTTGTTTCTAAATGAACCATCCATTTGAATGAATTGGTTAAAAGAATGATTCAGTGACTCACTCATTAAGACATTAAGATTTGCTGAATCAAAATATTTCTTTCTAAAGCTCCTTTTTGTAATGTCTATTCAATGTTTTTCTCATTTAACACAATAATGACTTCAAATGATATTTTGGGGTTAATTTCTCAACCCAAATTGATGTGCAAATACTTTGTGATCGATTACTTGGCACATCATAGAATTGATTAAACATTTCAATCAATTGACAGCAATAAAACATAAAACGAAAGTGATTCTCAGCATGGAGAAACGCAGCATGAGATGTGGATGAAGACGTTCGAGGACTGAGGACTGAGAGTGTTGAACGGTCAGTGACGGTGGGTT